ATTGACTTCCTAACTCCAGTTGTCAAACAAAGTTCTCAGGCCTACCATTATTGGCTCCCCCTGCCAAGGTCCCATCTCATGTCTGTTATCCTGTTCTGCCGTAAGTGTTGCTGCTGTAGATACAGCTGGAGTAAGAAGGACATCCTACGTTGTGTTGCTTTCTCTTCAATAGTGCCAGAAAATCTATCTCCCTCTCACTCCTGGCTTACTCAATTCAATGGCGAGACTAGCCAATCCCCTTGTAGTTTGTGGAGACCGGGCAGTCTCCTTGTGGAAAGGCTAACGCACCTCATTCACACGTTCCTGCCCATCTACATAGCAAAAATCAAATAATGACTAGGAAAAGTCATACTGAAAAATTAACTCCAGACTCAGGAATAAAAATGAAGGTAAAGAAATCTACTGTGCCTATATCCACTTGAAGTTACTGGAATAAAGAGTAGGATTCTAAATCAGATTTGTTTTAAAGGAGGAAAATAAGACATCAGTTCAGAAATACAACTCTAAAAGTAAAGATAGTAACACATATTACCAGATCTAAAAAGGGTGTATTTCAATAATTAAAGGTTGAAAGCAGGCCATCAAATCAACTTTGAAAACCATATAGATAGTAATTGGAACATCCTTAGTTTTCTCCTTTTGATTATCTACTGCTAGAACAATAATGTTAGTATGTGAATTTTGTGATTCCTGGCCATCCTTCAAAACTCTCTCAACTATCACCAAGAATCAAGTTTTTCAGGGTGAGACTGGGGGTAATTTATATTCCTTACTAGATGGAATGTCTTCTTGCCAAATCTTGCTTCACTAGCTAAGAACTGACAGGGTGATACTGTGATTAATAAAGTAAGATGTTCATGATAAAAGCACACATATTTTCCTTTCCTGTGTCTTTAACTTTCTTTATGTTTAACTTCTCATTCCAGACAATTTATTTTAAACCATGTGAAATATTTTAAATTATCCCTCAGGATAATGGTTTAGTCTCTGGCCCTTCTGGAAGATGTAAGAGTACGTTAAGATAAAGTCTTTTGATTCTATCTGTATTTTTTTAGATACCTAAAATGAAGAAACCAGTAGGCTAAACATGTATATTGGTTGACTTTTGGTTAAAATACTGGACAAAGAATCCCCAAAATACAAAAAAATTAACTTTAGGAAAATTAACCCCTTACTCTCAAGGCAGTTGATAAACACAACATTAACATTAAATGTGGGGAAGAATATATAACCAAAATAAAAATAAATTGAATATTCCTGTGTTACCCTAAGCCACAAATCTCAATAACAGACAAGAATTATTTCTTCTTTGGAATAACACTCACTAAAGTGTTAAAATAAATAAGCAAGCTTAAAAGAATTCTTCTTCAAACCCTGTAGCAGCTCTGGTGATCTTGGCCACTGACTGTAAACTGAATGTTGTTCTGCTTTACCGGGCTCTCATCCCCTTTGAACCAGCAACCTTACTAGCTGTATTCTTTGACAGAAAAGGCAATTGAAAGTCAGAAGAAACATCAGTGCTCTTAATGTGTAAGCTTGACACTAGCGCAATATCATTCCAGTCCACATTATATTAACTAAAATAACCCACATGGTCAGGTCCACAGACATTGAATAGGAAAATGTGCTTTATTTTTAGAGGGACTCACAAGGTTATATGGCAAAGAATATTGACATACAAAGGGACTGTGAGGGATTGGAGCCAATACTTTAAATAACCACTTCTCCTAAATCAGCATCACATAATTATGAAAAGATTTGTTGTAGGAATTATTGGGCACTCCAATAACTATGCTTTCTCGTTTGTTGCTAATAAATTGTCATCACATTTAGCCACTTTTTATCTGCTAGAATTATGCTTGAGTAGGAGGTCTAGTGGATTGTTGCTAAGTGCCATTGAGTCAAGTACAATTTGTAGCAACCCTAGGAGCAATAGACCTGAATGCTGTTGTATCCTGTGCCTTTGACTCTGACACACTTGAACCCATTGCTGCAGTCTTTGTGTCTGTCCATCTTGTTGAAAGTCTTCCTCTCTGTAACTGATTCTCAGACTTTCCAAGCATGTTGTCCCCCTCCAAGGGATATCTTCTCTTAAGAACATAGTCAAAGGCTGCAGCGGGAAAGAAGCCTACAGCCACCGAGAAACCAGCAGCTGAGAAGAAGCCAGTAGAAAAGAAGCCTGCAGCATAAACTCAAATTCTCCATTGGGACAGCTTATTTTAAATAAATACCAAATCAAAAGGCAGTACAAGTTAAAAAAAAAAAAAAGAGTATGAGAGGTACAGCTTTTCCATCTTTGCCTCCAAGGAGCACTCCGGCTGCACTTTCTCCAAGACATATCTGTCTGTTCTTTTGGTAGCCCATGACACACCTGTTTGTTCTTTCAGTACTCTTCTCCAACGCTACAACTCAAAGACATCAATTCTTTTTCTGTCATCCTCATTCATTGTTCAGCTCTCAAAAGTGTACAAAGTGATTTAAAAGACCATGGCCTGAATCACACACACTTTAGTCTTCAGACTGACATTGTTGTTCTTCAGTACCTTGGAGATATCCCTGCCAGCCTTCTGATGGCTTAGTGTTAAGAAATGGCACTGCCAAGCAAAGCAAAGCATGGGGTTTGAATCTACCAGCTGTTTCATGGGGGAAAGATGGGCATTCTCCATCCATGCCATTTACTGCTGCTAAAAACCCACTAGAGGATCAGCTGTGGCTCAGTTCCGACTCCATGGTATACAACAACAACAACAGTGGTCTCTGTGAATGAGATATGTAGATGAAATCAATCTCCCAGCTTGAAGTGAAGAGAGCTAAGGGTGGAGGTGGTTGTTGTGTACCATCGAGTCAGAACTGAACCATGGATAACCCCTCCAGTAGGTTTTTGATGACAGTAAATTGCACTGAAGGAGATTGCTCGTCCTTCTCCTGCAGAGCAGCTGTGGATTTGCACTGTTTGCTGCTGGGATTGCAGTGCAGGTATCCTATTCTGAATCCTTACAAACTAAGAGCACTCAATGTTATAAGAGAATAGAGTGTTGCTGAAGTAAATATTGAAACAGGAAGCTTCAAGTTTGATTGTAACTGAATGAAGGTCCTTTTTCTTAGTGTCTCAGATGCAGTTATTTTGGTGTTGAGGGAGAAAAGGTAAAATAACCTTTTAGAATCCAGAAATTGCTAATAGTAAATGCTGTTCACAGGGATAATACAAGCTAATATTAGGGTAATATGGAAAACAGTAGTTCATAACTTGTCCTTTACAACATTGCATTGAGAAAGCACCAAAAGTACTCAAACTTTGTCTTTCTTCATGATAATTTTAATGACAATGGCTGATATTCGTTGACTTCTTGCTGTAAATCAAGTATGGTTGCAAGTGCCTATGTACATTGTTGTGTTTCATTCATAAACAATCTGGTGGGATAGGACTTCTGTAATGCATTTTACAGATGAGGAAACAGGCATTGGGAAGTACATATGCTTCAGATTTCCTATAACTCATATACATTACTGTCAAATTCAGAGCTGCAATAATGATAACCTTTTAGTATAAAAAGGTTCTGCCACTTTCAGGATTACCATTTGCAAATGCTTGAATATGTACCAGTTGTAAAGCTTCTCTGTGGTTGCCTTGTGCTGTATTGGAAAGGCTTTGAAATTCTAAACTGTAAATTGCTTTGAATAAGTCACATAACAGCTCTGTCTCTCCCTCAAGGGGAGAGCTCTGTCTCTCTTTTCCCTCAAGAAAAAAAGACTCTAATTATACTTGCCCTTCATTGCTGAAGGAACAAGTGAAATATTTCAGAATAAGTATGAACCCTACAATGATGACAGATGATGATAGATAGATAGATAGATAGATAGATAGATAATCCTCTAATTTGTAGACAGAATATTATACTTAGACATTGTTTTCTGAACTTGACATGGCACAGTCACCATCAAAATATTAAAAACAAAAATATGTTAATAACTTTTTGGAAAAAGGTAGGTTGTTTGTACATATACCATAGAGTTGATTCTTACTCATTCTGACCCTGTAAGACAGAGCACCACTGTTCACAGGGTTTCCTAGGCTGAAATCCCTATGGTAGCAGATAAAAGAGATTTTCTCAGAAAATCTACCTGTGCGTTCTAGCCACAAACCTTTCATTAGCAATCCACCAAGGTTTCAGGTGCATAAGTGGAAGTAGTTTCTCTTTCTCCTGGGAGCCACTGGTGGATTTGAACTCCTACAGTGGTCTGGCTTTGGTGTTAGCAGTACAACTCCAGATAAACTACACCACCAGAGCAATGGCTCTCAAGCTCCTCCTTTCCAGAGTTCTTTTGGCCTCCTGGAAAATCTAATATTTTTATCATCATTTGTGATACAAATATATTAAGATATAAAAAGGGCATTGATTTTTAATTCTTAATCAGTAGTACTTAAATTGATAGTGCAGCAGGTAAAACCATCTCTAGGTTCTGAGACATTGCTGTATTATTGTTATGTTGTCGAGTTGCCTGTGACTCATAGTAACCCTATGCACAGTGGTTCTAAACCCTGTCCTATCCTGAGCCAATCTTACTGTCTCCTACACACCTGCCCTTGTTATCCCAGCCACAATGTCAGTCCATCTCATCTGGGGTCTTCCTTTCCTGCGTTGCCTCTGCACCTTTCTAAGCATAATGTTCCTTTCTCCTCAAGGTTAATAACAATTTGCATTTGATAATGCTAGTTTCTATGAAGACCTAAATATTTTAGTATTAAATCATAATTAAATGAGAAAAAGACTTTATGTAGCTCACTATTTATCCAGATCATTATCTGATATATGTATTTTGGTTGTTCAAAGAATGAATGAATTAGAAAAGAATTTTTTAAAAGAATTTTTAAGAGAATTATAATACATGATACATAAAAATATTAAGCCCAAATATTGGCAATACATTTTTTATTCTAACATTCCTTTGATTCATATGTCAGATTAATTTCTTTTCTTTTTTTCTTTTTTCTTTGCTAGGGACGCGCTTCCTTAACGAAAGAGAAAGAAGAATTTGCCCATGAACATGAAGAAATGAAGAACCTGGAAGCCATTGTTAAAAAAATAAAACCAACTGCTCTCATAGGTAAACTTCCCCCAACTCATTTCACCAAACATTCTCTTTGTTTTTTATAGCATAATTTAACTTTGTTTCCCCTAGTTACGTTATTCTTCTGTTAAAATTAATTCTCTAAGTGATACTTCGGTTTTACAGTTGAATCAGAGAATTTTTTTAGGTGTTATTGAGTGGACCTCTGATTCATAGTGATCCTTCCCAAGCACAACAGAATGAACCTAGCAGATTAGACCATTTGGCCTCTAGGGTTTCATTGGCTGACATTTAGAAGTAAATCCTTTTGTTATGAGGACATCTTTGTCTGGAAGCTCTGCTAAAACCTGTTCAGCCTTATGGCAATACACAGGCCTTTGATGGAGGAATGGTCGGGGTGCAAAGTGTGCGTGATGTTCACTGGCAAGAAATCAAGCTTCAATTTTAGGTTTACAAGCAAAACCTATACTTGGGCCAGGAAGCAGTCATCAGAACAGAGTAAGGAAACACTGTATATTTCAAAGTCAGGAAAGGAATGCATCAGGATATATCCAGTCTCTGTACCTTTTCAGTCTGTATGCAGAACAGGAGGAGTGTGGCATGAGGATTGGAGGAAGACTAATCAACAGCCTACATTATGCATTTGACACAACCTTGCTTGCAGAAACTGAGGAGGACCTGAAGCATTTGCTGCAGAAGGTCATGGACTGCAGCATTCAACATAGATTGAAGCTCTATATCAAGCAAACATAGGTTCTTACCATTGGGCCAATTTGCAGCACCATCATAGATGAAGAAGAGATTGAAGTTGTTAACAATTTTACAGTCAACTCAGGTCCATAGTCAGCACTCTTGGCACCAACAGTCAAGAAATCAAAAGACAAATTCTTCTGGGTAAGTCGGCTGTCAGGGACTTCTCAAGTGGTAAAGAGCAATGATGTCAATCTATAAACTAAGATATGCCTGATTCAGGCCATGGTCTTTGCAGTTACTTGCTATGGTGGACAATGACCAAAGATGACAGAAGAAGAATTGATGCCTTTGAGCTTGTAGAAGAGTATTGAACATATCATGAACTGCCAAGAGAACAAATAGATATATCCTGGAAAGGGTGAAACCAGGCTTCTCCTAAGAGGCAAGGATTTTGAAGCTCAATTTCACATACTTTGGACATGTTTCCAGGAGGGACCAGTCCCTGGAGAAGGACATCATGCTTAGAAGGATGGAGGGAGAGCACAGGAGAGGAAGACTCCAGATGAGATCAATTGACACATTAACTGGGGTAGGTGTGTCAGAGACAGTGAGACTGGCTCTTGGTAGAGCAGAGCTCAGAGCTGCTGTACATAGGGTTGCTGTGAGTTGTAGGTGAGGAGATGGCACATAACAATAATAGCAGGGAGATCTGGTAGCCTAGTGGTAAGAAAGTGCACAGTAATCCCAAAGGCACACGATTTGAATCCACCAGCTGCTCCATGGGAGAAGGATGGGCAGTCTCCTCCCCTGTGATTAACTGCCTCTGAAAACCTGCTAGAGGGTCAGCTCTGGGTCAATTCCAACTCATTGGTACTCAAAACAACAACATGGAATGCAAGAATTCTACCATTGAACCTCTAGTGTTCTCTGTTTTAAGTGTCAGCATTGGTTTTTAAAGCATATATAACCTAAAAAAAATTAAATATACTGATATATTTGCTTACTATTAGAGAGATAGTATATCTTGGAAACGTTCCTAATGCAAATGCTTATATTCACAATTTTAGGTTTTGTTGTTGTTGTTGTTGTTGTTGTTGTTTTGTGCTGTCGAGTCGCTTGCGACTCTTACGGGTCTCTAATTTGATGTGTTATGTGTCACATACTATATCTCATTTTAAAATGTATGTAGTCTTATCATTATAACCCTAAAGATAGTTAGTTGGTGTTAATGAAAATCTATTTTTATCACTGCCCTTTATAAGTAAATATTCTTTATTATGTTTCAAGACCATTAGAAGTGGACTGACATGCTTCCTTAAAATAATTAATAATAATGACCCTAATCATATATTTCTGTTTCTTCATTAGGAGTGGCTGCAATTGGTGGCGCATTCACAGAACAAATTCTCAAAGATATGGCTGCCTTCAATGAGCGGCCTATTATTTTTGCTTTGAGTAATCCAACTAGCAAAGCAGAATGTTCTGCAGAGCAGTGCTATAAACTAACTAAGGTAAAGCGGAAGTATAACTGATAATTTAGTGACCAAATTTTGATTCCTTAATGGGAAGCCTAGTATATATCGAAGGTACTCAGCACTTGTAGATCACTGTAGAGGTTCTGACTCCTGGCAATCCGATGCGTGCATGTAACTGTTCCCTAGGGCTCTCCAGGCTGCTGCCTCTTCACAAACACTTCACCAGGATTGTCTTCAGGGCACCTCTGTGTGGGTTCCAACCACTAGCTTTTCGACAAGTATATGATTCCTTTGCTGTTTGCATCACCAGGGACCTTTAAAGTGCTTATACAACCAAGTCTGAATGAAAAGTGAACAGGTCAGAAGAGATAATAACTACTTCCTTTTAAAAAATGCTATTGGATAAATTCTTTTCTTAAATGTAAAATAAAATAAACTTTAGAGTACATCATTGATAATGTTCTTCAAGTGCTTGGAAATATCCCAGTTTTAAATAATATAAAAGTAAATAAGAAGGTTGGTTTCAGATGCTTATTAAAATAGTTTTTAACCAGCTATTCCAAAACATTGAATCATCCAGTGTAAAACCACAATTTTATTTTTGCTTTGCTAAATCCTGGGTTAGGATTTGGATGCCCAGGGTGGAGTCTTTGGACAGCTATCTTGATATTCAGCCAGCCTTGGATAGAAATCCTCAGTACTTCAATACTTGAATGTTTTAAAAAAGTTATTTTATACAATTTTATATTAATACATAATTGGCAAGAGTCTTTTTTCCCCCTAAGAATGGAAAATGTCATTATACCAAAACAGAATTGAGTTATATGTACCTAAGATGCTTTTATTTTGGAAATAAATCTAAAGAAACTAGAAAAGTTAAATATAACAATAAGCTATCGTCTCCAAATCAGAACTTGATGGTTCCCCTTCTTTAAAACTATATTCTTATTCTTAAGTTCATTTTAAAATGAAATTTCTCTGACTAAACCTGTATGGGAGCGCTGGTGGCCTACTGGCAAGAAGCTGCACTGCAATCCTGAAGGCACAGGGTTTGAATCCACCAGCTGTTGCTTTGGAGAAGGAGGAACAGTCTCCTCCTGTACAATTAACTGACTGAAAATTGCCGGAGGGTCAGCTATGGGTCAGTTCCTACTCGATGGCAACACTTGTATGACCTTTTTCTGGATGTTCTGCATTGCTATACATAGAATTGACAATCATTTGAGGAGACCTTAAACTTTGTTACTGAGTTCAGTCAGAAGTCTGGATGTGTGCTGCTGCATGCGCAGGGGAGAGACAGCTATCCAGTGCTGTTGAGGCATTTCCTAGTGAACCTCTGTCAGGTTTTTGAGGCTGTAAATCTTTATAGGTGGAGATTACTTATCTTTGTCTTGCTAAGCAGCTTGTGGATTTGAACTGCTGACCTTGAGTTAATAGTTCAACTCATTAGCAGAAAAGTACTGTGCCTTGTTGTTCTTTGTACCATCAAGTTGGAACCAACTTATAGCCCTCCAGCAGGTTGTCAGAGGCAATAAATTATGCAACTTTAAAAAAAAGAATGAAAAGGCATTTAATAACATTCATATTACATGAATATTAATATTATTACTATCAAGCCAGATCTAGGCTTCCGATTTTATCTATATGAAAGTTATAACCTAGTTTATGCTTTGGAAGTTGTACTTTAGACTTATCAAATTAATTTCTTAGACTGTGATGCTTTCTATTTAAGAGTTTCCTATGTTCATATTTTGGAAGCCTGAATACTATCAAATATGTCATCACTCTCCCTCTCACAGACCAGGCAAATGCTCTCCTTTTGATTGTGGTGGTTATGTGCTGTCAAGTCAGAACTGACTTGTGGCTGCACCTCCATTGGGTTGGCACAGACTGTAAATCACATAGGAGGAGATGGAGATAGTCCATCTTTGTCCTGTGGAGCAGCTGGTGGCGTAGAACCATCTATCTTTGGGTTACAGCATAACATCCTACCCACCAGGCCACCAGAGCTCCCTACCTTTTGACTAATGTTACGTAGCACCTGCAGCTCTAGTGGCTTAACGGTAAGGACTGCTTACTGCCAACACAAAGACACACTGTCTGCATCCACCAGTTACTCCATGGGAGAAGGATGGGCAGTCTCCTCCTGTCTCCAAAAACCCAGTCAAGGGTCAGCTATGGATTCGTTCTGACTCGATGATACTTAACAATATAACAACAATTTAGTAACTATCAGGCCTTAAGTTAATGCCCTTTTAAAGGATGGCATATATAAATGGCTCTTAAAAAAACAAAATTGAGCCTAAAAATACCACTACAAAACCAAAGACAGCTGTTGACAGTTCTGGATAACAAACTCTTCACCTTGATAGCTAATTGCACTTGGAATAAGTTTGTTTTGTATATTATCTTCCATATAATTTCTTTATTGTATAGAAATAATAAGAAATTACCATAGTGACTGTTTTAGAAATGTGTTGATCTCTAAACTCTAATCTAAAATGTCACTATTATCAATAATTGTCACCTGTCATTTGTTATCATCAGACTTGTGTAATTTCAAACCTGCATTGACATAGCGGATGGGTTTACCTGTGAGACCACTGCAGCGAATGGAGCCATTGTCCTGGGTGTCCTGTGCTCTTGTCCATTCCTCCTGAGAATAGAAAGATAATAGAAATACCGCTTTCTCTGAGATGTGTTGTCCAGCATCACAGAAGCTTGCCCACATTATTAGAGAGTTGATGAAAACTTAGGGAGTTCTGGTGACCTAGTGGGTTGGGAGCTATGCTCCCCACCTAAAAGGAGGTAGTTTGGATCCCCCGTCTCCTCTGCCAGAGAAGAATGAGAGGTCTCCTCTCTTGTGACATACAGCCTCTGAAAAACCCACTGGAGGCTCAGCTATGAGTTGGTCCCAACTCGATGGCAGTGAAGAAAAGAAAAATGAGACGCATCAAAATTACCATTATTTTTACTGTATGACAGCTGTATTCCTTTTAAAATAGCCTGCTTCCCTTTCGAACTGATGTGCTAATTCTGCTTCCTAAAGCCAGTTTTGCATGTCTGTGTTGTTGTAGGGGCGTGCAGTTTTTGCCAGTGGCAGTCCTTTTGACCCAGTCACTCTTCCAAATGGACAGACCCTTTATCCTGGCCAAGGCAACAATTCCTATGTGTTTCCAGGAGTGGCTCTGGGCGTTGTCGCCTGTGGATTGAGACACATCACGGACACGGTCTTTCTCACCACTGCCGAGGTATGATGTAGCATGCTTACGAGTTAGTCAAGGTGCCAAGGCAGAGAGTGCTCCATGCAGTTGTCTGATGTTTCCTTTCTCTCACATCAATACTTGCTTTCTGGAGATGAAAGTCTTAGAGAAACTTCTCCAGGGAGAAGTCAAGGGTTCATGTTGTCTCTCTAGTAAGATGTTCTTCAATAACCAGTAGAAAATTGTGTTCTGATTTCTTAAAGGGAACTCTTTTTTTAAACTTCATTCTTTCAAGCAAACTCTGTGACAAAGAAAGTTAAAAAAGTATTTTTAACAATTATTACGTTGAGAACATTCCCAGATAATGGCATTTTGAAGATTTAAAGCGGTGTTCTGACATGATACAACAAAGAAGCAGGAATCACTACCAAAAACAGAAACCGGTTTATTACTTTAACCAGAAAGAAAATGAAAATAAGGAGTTGTAAAATTGTTAAATAGTTCTGGGTAGTACAAATGGTTTACACTCTAGCTGCTAAGGTAAATGTTGTTGGTTCAGATCTACCCAAAGATGCTTAAAACACACACACACACACACACACACACACACACACACACACACAAACCCACAACCAAAACCTGCTAGTTTGTGTTTTTGAAAAAAAAAATCTGTTGAAAAAACTATGAAGCACGGTTCTACCCTGACATACATGAGATCATCATAGGTCAGAATCAACTTGCTGGCATCAGGACTGGACTGCAAAGTCAGTTTTTAAGAACCTTTGAAATGGTAGATTCTATTCAGAGACTTCAAGGAAGATTTCCTTAATATCAGAGAATAGATGTGTTTGAGGAAACTCATGCTGTCAAGTCTATAAAGACTGAGATTTCACTCTGCTTGAAAGCTAACAAGTTAGCCTTCCAGCAGCATAGATATTGGCAGAAGACTTGAGACTCTCACATCAGACACAAGGACTTCTGTAATCATGGAGATGCAGGTAGCACGACTTGTTTTCCCATCAGTTCACGTGGCCTTCCATTTTCAATGGGGGCAATGCAGAAACGGACCTACATAACTGGACATGTATTTGTAAAATAAAAAATTTCTTATTTTTTTAATAATTTGCGTTTTTGTTGAGAATATACATACACAGCAGAACATTTAACAGTTTCTACATGTGCATTTCAGGTGACATTGATTGCATTCTTAATTTGTCAGAATGCCACATAATTTATGTAATAGTTTCACACTTGAGTAGCATGCCGTTGGTGAGCAAAGCATTGAGTTATTTATGCCTTTAAAATCAAACTGTCACAGAATTATGATTGAACTGAACCAATAAACATTAATGAATGTTATAATGTTTTTATCTTGCAGTAATCCTTTAAGAATTTCCATTGTAAAGAGGAGTAAATGGAGTAGAGGCAGATTTTTGTGACCGGTGAGATAAGAAGTGTTTAGTGCCTGGCATCATTCTAGGAGAATAGATTTCTGGAAGTTCGATTGACTTGCTCTTAACTTTATTTTATCACCATTTTAAAAGAACAACAATAGTGCCTCACCTCCAGGTTTCTTAACATAAAAAAGTGGTGAAAATCATAAGTGGATATATAATTACTGAGAACATTTCAAAGTTTTCTTCAGTATACAAAAATGATCCATGTCTTCTATAACATTATTTTAAAAAATTAGTTTGCTTATAGAGTTTGTATACATTGTGTTTCACACTATTCTTCATTCACATTGTTTTATATAATTAATCATCATTGGACTTTGCCCATCATTATCCTATCTTTTCACTCAAATCCTTCCCATTTCCTTTCACCAAACTGTGCAACCCTGTGGTTTCACACCCACCCATCCCCATCCCTCTGCTCCCACCTCTTTATCCTTTGAGTTCTCATACATATTTTACTAGTTATCCTTCTGTTTTTACAATAATGGTCTTACGCCCTTTTTATCCTTATGAAACTGAGTTCACTCAGCGTAATAATCTCCACCTTCTCCCAACTTACGTAGTACATTTTTAAATCGTTGCTTATGAGTGCTGCATGGTATTCCATTGTGTGAATGAATGTACCACAATTTCTTAATCCAATGAGCTGTGGTTGTACATTTGGGCTACTTCCATGTTCTTGCAATGAGCATTGGTGTACAGATCTCCATTTCTGTCTCAGTTCTAATTTCCTTGGGATGTATTCCTAGTAGTGGAATAGATGGGTCATATGGAGTTTCTTTGTTCAAGTTTTTGAAGAAACATTAAGCTGCCTTCCAGAATGGTTGTACCATTTACAATCCCACACAGCTTATGAGAATTCCACTCTCCACATCCTCTACAATATTTATTGTTTGCTGCCCTACTAAACTTTGCCACTGCTACTGGATGAAATGGTATCTCATTGTGGTTTTGATTTTATTACCAGTGATTTTGTGCATTTCTTCATGTGTCTGTTGGCCATCTGAATGTCTTGTTCTATGAAAATTCTTCCTATGTCTTTTGTCCATTTTGTAATTGGGTTATCAGTCTTTTTCTTGTAGAGGCCAGAAGTATTCTATAAACATTTGTTATGAGACCCTTGTCCTGAGATGGTATTACTGAATGTTTGTTCCCAGTCGGTAGTTTTTCTTTTCACCCTGTTGGGAAAACTGTATTGAGCACAGAGATTTCATCTTTAAAAGGTCCCATTCATCAGTTTTATCCACCCCTGGTTGCGAATTTCTGGCTGTATTTGTCAATCTCTTTAAATCTAACACCGTTTCTTAAGACATTCACCAAAATTAGAATAGAAGGGAATTTCCTCAATGTAGTGAAAAGTATATATACAAAACCAAGAGCCAATATCATTCTCAATGGAGAAAGACGAGAATTTTTGCATTTTCTTTGCAAACAGGGACCATACAAATATGTCTACAGTCACTACTTCTATACAATATTGTACTGGGAGTATTTGCTAGGACAATACAATAAGAGAAGGAAATAAAAGGGATGCATATGGGCAAAGAGATGGTTAAACTATCACTATATGTAGATGATGCGCAACCTATACTTGGACCAAGAGGCATTCGTCAGAACGGAACAGGGCAACACTGCATGGTTGAAAATTGAGAAGGTTGTACGCCAGGGATGTATCCTATCTTCATACCTTTTCAACCTGTATGCAGAGCAGATTATCCGAGAGGCTGGGCTCTATGAGGAGAAGCGTGGCGTTAGGTTTGGTGGAAGATCTATCAACATTCTGCGTTATGCAGATGACACAACCCTGCTCTCTGAAACTAAGGAGGACCTCATGCACTTACTGCAGAGGGTCAAGGAATGCAGCCTTCAGTATGGACTGAGGCTCAGTGTCAAGAAGACAAAGATTCTCACCACTGGACCAATCAGTAGCATCGGGATGGATGGCGAAGAGATTGAAATTGTTCACAGCTTCAGTTTGCTCGGCTCCATGGTCAACACTCATGGCACCAGCAGCCAGGAAATAAAAAAACGTATTGCGATGGGAAAGTCTGCGGTTAGGGACCTCTCTAAAGTACTCAAGAGTAACAGTGTCTCTCTGAAGACTAAGGTGCACCTGATACAGGCCATGGTCTTTGCAATCACTTGTTATGCATCAGAGAGTTGGACAATGACTAGGGAGGATAGAAGGAGAATTGATGCCTTTGAGCTGTGGTGCTGGAGAAGAGTATTGAATGTACCATGGACTGCCAAGAAAACAAACAGATTCATCCTGGAGAGGGTTAAACCAGGCTACTCCTTGGAGGCAAGGATTCTGGGGCTTCGTCTGACATACTTTGGACATGCTGTAAGGAGGGACAGGTCCTTGGAGAGGGACATCATGCTTGGTAGGGTAGAGGAACAGCGCAGGAGGGGAAGACCCTCTATGAGGTGGATTGATTCAGTGATTGGGGTGATCCGGATGGGTGTGTCAGAGGCAATACAATTGGCACAGGATACAGCAGCATTTAAGGCTGTTGTACATAGGGTTGCTATGAGTCGCAAATGACTCGATGGCACATAACAACAACAACAACATATGTAGATGACACAGAAACCCCAAGGACTCAGAAAAAAAAATTGTTAGAGTTCGTGTACCAATTTAGTAGGTTGTCAGGATACAAGATCAATATCAAAAAATCAGTGAGATTCCTCTACAGTATCAAAGAAAACTCAGAGAAGGAAACCAAGAAAGCAATACCATTTACCAACCACAAATTGAGATATTTGGGACCCATCTAGAGGTACAAGAGACTTTTACAAAGAAAACTACAGAACATTTCTGCAAGACACAGTAAAAGGCCAGAAGAAATGGGAAAATTTGCCCTGTTCATGGTTAGGAAGACTCAATATTGTGAAAATGACAATCATGCGAAAAGCAATCTGCATGGTCAATGTAACCCCAATACAGATACCGAAGTCATTTTTCAAGGAGATCAAAAGGGAAATTGTGACGTTTATCTGGAAAGGAATGAGACCCTAAATAAGCAAAGCACTTCTGAAAAACAAAAATTAAATGGGAGGCATAGCACTGCCTGACCTCAAAACCTACTACCCAGCGATAGTAACCAAAATAGCGTGGCACTGATACTATGACCAATGAAAGAGAATTGAGAACCCAGAAATGGACTTCTAGATCTATGTTCAACTGATAGTCAACAAGGAAATAAGACCTGTCAAATGGGAAAATGACAAATGGTCCTGGAAAAACTGAATTGCTACCTGCAGAAAGCTGAAACAGGATCCACATCTCACACCATACAGAAAAATCAACTCAAGGTGCATCAGAGACCTGGGGGGTAAAACCCCAAACCATAAAGTTCATAAGAGACAAACTGGGACCGAAATTTATAACATTCTTAATTGATAGGTGAAAAAGTGGCTTAGCTGAGCATGTTTGTCTTAAATAACTCTAGCTCCCTCTAGTGACAAACTCCATAACAATTTTTTTTCTCATTTCTTGTACAAGAAAAGTGGTAACCATTACCAAGATGCTTTAAGGGGGGGAGGCGGGGGAAGTGGTTCTGCCAATAAAGTCATTTTTATTGTATCAAA